GCAGCCAGCAGGATCCTTGTCAGGTCCTTGTTCTGCCTCCTTTCTGCCTTTATCTGTTTTTCCTCTGCACTATCCCTATTGTACACTTTCTCGGCCACAGTTATTAAATCCCTTAAGCTCTTTTCACCCAGTCTCTCTACTCTTTGGAGCTTTTTTATATCCGGAGCCGACTGGTTAACAAAAGCCATGGCCACTGCCGCTATATTATCTTTGGCCTCTGGATCTAATGGAGTGTACCTGTGGAAGGCATCCGTTATTCACTACAAGAATGCAGCTGGGCTTCCATTTAGTTCCTGACTAATATTGTCTACCTCTGCAAAATTAGTTGGCCTAGGAGCACCCGCTTTGAGACCTGCCAACAGAGCCTGGCAGTAAACCAGAAGCCTCCCCTTACCTTCTGCAGTATTATAATCCCAATCAGTCCGGGTCAGTGGATAGGGAGCATCAATCAGTGTCGGGTCAGTAGTAGGGACACCAGTATTAGCAGGAATTAATTTCCTGGCTTCTGTTTGGATACGTTCCCTTTCCTCTGTGGTAAACAGGACCTGTAATAATTGATGACACTCATCCCAAGTGGGTTGGTGTGTGAAAAAGACAGTTTGTAATAAATAAGCTCCCTAGGATTTTCAGAAAAGGGAGCATTCTGGGTTCTCCAGTTGTAAAGGTCACTAGTGGTGAATGGTCAATAATGATGGGGCTTGTTGCCAGCCTCATCCACAGGGCCAGCGACTCTGAGGGGTAGAACAGTAGGGTCTGGACCCTCTGGTGTTGCTGCCCTTCTACTCCTAGTCCCCTGAGCTGGTCCCCCCGGTGCCTGTGAAGAATCTGGTACCAGAGGTGCCGGTTCTGAAGGGGGTACCTCCTGTGGAGGAGGTGGATAAGGAGGGGGAGGAAAAATTAGATCTTTTTGGTTTCAGGCTTAGGTGCTTTCTGGGTTGTTTTGCAGCTGTCAGCACCTCAGTTTTCTGTAAAGGAAGAAAAGACTTGACCCAAGGAGGGGGGGTTATTGACTAAATCTCCCCAGACCACTATGTATGATATTTGATCCAAGTGTCCCACACATGGTTGAAGAATAATTTTCTCAACTGCGTTAATGTCAGCGGGATCAAAGGTCCCCTCTGAGGGCCATCCCACATAGAAAGTGAGGCATTCAGACCTGCAGAAAGTATTAATCATTCCTGACAACAACAGAGAGGTTATGGGCTTGAGTCTTAACCTCTCCAAAATGTACAAGAACCAGGTCCAGGGGTGTAGAGGGAGTCTGTCCCATTGTGTCCACCTCAGTCACAGAGAAATAGACAGCCAAAGACAAAACAGAGAGCCAGAAAGACACACAGAAGGCCAAGTAGCAAATTCCCCCACTCATGCGGAATGAGTGTCACTGACCCAGTGGATCTCAGATGTGAGACCCCCTTACTTTGGGAGACAGAGGTTTTATAGGTTTATTTCAGCAAGTTCAGCAAGTAGGGGGGTGGGGGGTCTCCAGCCTGGCAAGCATCTGATTGGTTGCAGCCCAGTGCCAAAAGACATCTGGACTTTTAGTACTTTCCTGTCCCTGGTTAATTGACTGTTGGTGGGGGAGTTGTTCTCTATCCATTCCAAGTATACCTTTTTTTGTGGTTTGTTCCTGGAACAGGGCTCAGGGCTGGGTCAGTTCCATGGAGGTTTTATCCAAGACGGAGCCACTCATGTCTCTCAAAAAAGTTTTATTTTAAAAAGCTTACAGTTTGAGAGTAGTCCATCATGGCAGAGGAAGTATGAAAAGAACAGGCAGCTGGTTACACTGCACATAATTTCAGGAGGCAGAGAGGAATGTTGGTACTCAGTTTGCTTTCTCCTTTTTCTTTTAATGTGTTTTATTATTTTTATTTTATGTGTATGTGTGTATTGCCTGCATGTAGGTAAGTGCACCCGTGCCCTGCCGTGCAATGTTCCCGGAGGACAGAAGAGGCTGTTGGATCCCCTGGAACTGGAGTTATGGACAGTTGTTAGGTGCCATGTGGGTGCTGGGATTTGAACCCAGGTCTTCTGCAAGAACATTGTTCTTAACCACTGAGCCATCTCTCTAGCCCCTGCTTTCTCCTTTTTATTCAGTCTAGGATCCCTACCCATGGAATGGTGCCATCCACCTTTAGGGCCGGTCTTCCCACCTCAATTAATCCAGTCTAGAAACTCCTTCACAGATGTGCCCAGAGGTTTGTATCCTAGGTGATTTTGGATCCTGTGACGTTGATAGTCTTGACTATCACAAGTCCATTCTCGTTAACTGGCATGCAAACATATCATTTTAAAGCCATAACCTTTCTGCTCCTTGTCCTCACAGGCCCATGACTATCTCATAAGACAAAATACATTCAGTTCAGCTTTAAAAGGTGCCCAACATCTATGACAGTTCCAGCACTGTTCCAAATCTTCATTTCTTTAACTGTTGCTGTGATAAACTTCTCTGACAAAAGCAACCTTAGGGGAAAAGGGTATATTTTGGGTTAAAGTTCAAGAGGGATGCAATCCTAGTGAAAGCACAGCAGCAAGCAGGGGAGGCATGATGGCAGGGGCAGAACGTTTAGTTGTGCATCAGATCCATACTCGGGAAGCAGAGAGCAGTGAATGAATTCAAGGCAGTATTCAGTTCACTTTCTCCATTTTAGATAGTTTAGGATCCCCTGTCCAGGAAGTGGTTCTGCTATGATTAGAACAGGCCTTCCCACACCAATTAATGTAATCAAGATTATCTCACGTCGACATGCCCAGGGAACATTCTCCCAGGTGAGATATCTGGATTCTAGATTCTTTCAAGTTGACAATTAACAACCATCACAATACTGCCCCTTGTCAACTTGACACTCAGATACATCATCTTTAAGTCATAACTTTCTACTCCTTGTCTCATACGCTCATGACCATGTTATAATATGAAATGCATTCAGTCCAACTTTAAACATCCTAAAGTCTTTAACAATTCCAACACTTTAAAAGTTCAGTCTCTTAGCCAGACGTGGTGGCGCACACCTTTAATCCCAGCACTCAGGAGGCAGAGGCAGGTGGATCATTGTGAGTTCAAGGCCAGCCTGATCTACGTAGTGACTTCAGGTCAGCTGGGACTACAGGGAGACCCTGTCTCAAAAAGACACACACACACAAAAGTTCAGTCTCTCAACTATGAGCTCCCGTAAAATAAAAAAGTTCATACTTTCACCATATAATGGCACAGAGTAAATATTTCTGTTTCATAGAGAAGAACTAGGCCATAGCAAGCAAACTCAAAGTCCAGCAGGGAAAATATCAAATCCTTCAGCCCCATGTCTGGCATGTTGGACTCATAATATCTGGGATTCTAAATGTCTTAGGTGGCCCTACCCCTTCAGCTCTGCCACGTGTACTACCTCTGTCTTGGGCTACCTCCACATCATGCATGCAGCCTTCTTCAGTGGCTATTCCGTAGTCCTGGTATCTCCAATGTCCTGGAAATGCCAAGGCTTCACCTTCACAGCTTCGCACAATGGCTTCTCGAAGCCTCCTTTCCGAGTCTCCAACCCCACCACACACTACCTGGCCTTAGATGCTCTCTGAAACCATCATCATCCCATCAATCTCACATCCTTCATGCCGCTGAAACCAGTACCATGTGGATGACATTGCTAAGTTCTGTCAGCCTAGGATGTTGCTTTAGCTTCTCTGGGGAAGCACTCTGCTATGTAGCTGCTTTCGAGGAGCAGGGAATTCCTCAGCTGCATTCTCGGTTCAGCCTTTCTCCTTTCACAGAAATTTGAATCTTGGTAAGATAGAGCCTTAGGGTGGGTGGAGTTTTGTCCTCAGGATATCTTTTGTCTCAGTGTAGCTCATGTTTCTCTTCAGTGCTGATTTCTTTAACTATTAGAGCTACTTTCTTCAGCACCAACTTGAATGCTCTCCTGTCTTGAAGTTTTCTCTGTCAAACAAATTAGTCCATTGTCTTTAAACTCAACTTCACTCTGGTTCTCAGGACATGGGCAGAATGAAGCCAGATTCTTATGCAAAGTATTGCCCAAATGGCCCTCAGACCTTATATGTCACTTTTTTTGATGCCATGACAAAATAGACATTACTAAAAGCAACTTAGAAAGAAATGGCTTATTTTGGCTTACAGTTTCAGAGGGATACAGTCCACCATGATGGGGAAGGCTTGGCATGTAGTGTGACATGATTCCTGGGGAGACATGAACAAACCTCTTCTCTCCCCAGAGAGGGAACCAATGACAAACCAAAGTAAGGTTACCACCAAAGTCCAACTTGGTGACTCAATGGGTTTTACTGGGGTTACTTGCAGTATATGGGTGAGGGATTGCTTACAGGAATGAGTCAAAGGTAGATAGTTGTATCACCCGAAACCCACTTTAGCATGGGTGACAGCTCATGAAAACAAAATCTGGAATGCACTGTACAACCTGAAGGCAGCTCAACAGGTTGGAGAGTGTCTTTCTAGGTGGCTTAGTTGGTTTGAGGCTCTTTCAAGTCACTCAGTTGATCTCTGCTTCTTCCAGAGGCTTAGCTCCTTTGACCCTCTTCTAGGCAGTACAGCTTCTCTGAGAATGTCTTTCTGCATCTTTAGGACTTTTATATGTTTGGGAAGGGAGGCAGGGTCTAGTGAATCTGGTCAGTTTCAGGGACTTATTCCCAAAATAAGTATTCCAAAAAATACTTATTCCTCCAAGGGTTGTAAACCAGCCAGGGGCAGAGCCCACTGCAGAGAGTTAGCTGTGGAGAAGGGGAGGGGGAGGGTGGCCACCCTGGAAAATGGCCAGGGTGTCCTGCAAGTGGGGAAGAAGCAAGATGGGGCATTTACAGACCTGGGGCAAGACCACGGGCCCAAGAGGCATGGGGAAAGCTAATGGAGACTGTGGGTAGGGTGCAGAAGACATCTGAACTGGCACTAAGGGACAGTGCAGTTTTTGTGCAGTTGCTTTGTAAGTCACCCCACACTCCTTACCATAAAGGACACCCCAAACTAAAAATGTCTTATGTTAGTCTGTGAGCCTGAGGCCTTGGGACGGAGCCTCCTAAGAAGAGGGGAAAAAAAAATTAGGGCGACAAGGGAGTTCCTGAAGCTATTGAGTTGTGTACTTCCTTTTAGAAAATCCTACTGTTAATCTGAGCTTTCTTCCAGATGGAGAGGGTTTTATCTCAGAGGAAATTGCTACACAACACGGAGTGACAGGAGCAGGAAGCTTACTAATCACCTTTCCATCCACACACACAGGAAGCAGAGAAAGAGAATATATGAGAATGGGAATGGGAAATAGGGCATAGCTAAGAACCCTCAAATTCAGACCAGGCAAGGTGGTGCATGCCTTTAATCCCAGTACTCAGGGGGCTCACAGTCTAAATAGCAAATTACAGGCCAGCAAGTGCTACAGTCTTGAAAACAAAGATGAAAAGAAAAATAAAAATAAGTTCTCAGAGCCTGCCCCTGGTGATGCACATCCTCCAGCAAGGTTCCACCTTATAAAGGGTCCATAACTTCCCCAAACAGTGCCACTAACTAGGGACCAAGTGTCCAGATATATGAGGCTATGGGAGACATTTCTCCTTAAACCACCATATTCCACCTCCTGACCCCCATAAGTTGATGGCCATCTTGTGATGCAAAATGCATTCAGTCCAACTTTTAAAAATTCCCATAGTCTTTAACAGTCTCAACACTGTTCAAAAGTCCAGTCTTTTCTGAGACATAAGGCAAGCTCAGAACTGTGACTGCCTATAAAATGAAAAAATGAATTTCATACTTCCAAATCACAATGGCACATACATTTCATGAGCTGAGCCTTCACTATGTGCATGTCTCTTGTCATTCTTGTTTTCCAAACTCCCACCAGAATGACTAATTCACCTCTACTTAGAATATTTTAAAGCTTCTTTAGCCCACTGCTCCAAAATCTCCCACATCCTTTCCAAAAATCAGTTCTAAACGCCTATGAACCACATGGTCAAATTTATCAAAAAGGCCCTGCTTCTTGGTAGCAATTTTATGTTTTAGTTATTTTTCTCATTGCTATGACAAAATGCCTGACAAAAGCAATTTAAGGAAAGAATTTATTTTGGCTCAGTTTGAGAGACTAGAGAAGGCAGAGATGGCATGTAGGCTAGAGTGCAAGGCAGCTAGTCACAATGCATGTGCATTCAGGAAGCAGAGATAGATGCTGGTGCTCAGCTTCCTTTTTACTTTTTATTCAGTCTGAGACCCCAGCCTATGAAATGGCACTGCCAACATTTAAAGTGTGTCCTCTCACCTAAATTATCCCAGTCTTGATCCTATCAAGTTAGCAATTAATATTAACCATTATAAGCAGTAGTAAAGAATTTCCCAAGTAAAAATGTCCAGGACTAGATGAATTCACTGTTGATTTCCAGAAAACCTCTTCATCAGAATTAATACCAATGTTTCTCAAATTATCCCACAAAAGAGAAAGATGTGATAGTGATATTTATTGACTTGACAGAATCTATAATCACCAAAGAAACAAGCCTCTGGGCACACTTGTGAGGGATTCTGTAGATTAAGGCTAGCCTCTGAGAATGTCTGTCAGGGATATCTTTATTACATATAACTGATGTGGGAAGACTCAGTTGTGGGAGGGACCATTCTCTGGGCAGGGAATCCTGAACTGTATAAAGTGGAGAAAATGAGCACTGGTTTTCATTCACCACTCTGCCTCCTGAGTAAGTGATGTGACCAGCCCCTTTCAGTTCTTGCTGCCTTGGTTTTTCTGCCATAATAGACTATGCTCTTGTTCTGTGATCCAGAAAAAAACCTTCTCCTTAGATGGCTTTTGTCAGGTATTTGGTCTTAGCAACAAGAAATGTTAACTAAGTCAGAGGGAATGCTATTTAACTCATTTTACAAAGGCAATAGTATCCTGATATCAAAACCAGAAAAGGGAATACACACACACACACACACACACACACACACACACACACACACACACAAATTATAGACCAATTTTCTGATGAGCCCCAGATGCACAATTTTCAAGAAAATACTTGCAAACCCAATTCATCAACACATTAAACAGATTATACACCATGTCCAAGTTGACTTAATTTCAGGAATGCAAGCACTGTTCAACAATATAGATGAATAAATGTAATACATCCTATAAATAATACCCAAAGACAGTAAGCAGATGTTTATCTCATAGATACAAAAAAAGATCCTTGACAAGTTCAGTAGCCCTTCATGATAAAGATAACAAAGAATCTAACAATAGAAAATACATACTTCATTCATAATAAGGACTATCTATATACAACAAATTACTATAAATACCCAAATAGGGGGAAACTGAAACCATTGCTTCTAAAAGCAATAATTGTAGAACTGTTTTCATTCTCTCCACTCATTTTTTTTTTTGAGACAGGGTCTCCATGTAGCCCCAGCTGTCCTGGAACTCACTATGTAGACCAGGCTGGCCTTGAATTCACAGATCTGCCTGCCTCTGCGTGCCGAGTCCTGAGATTAAAGGTGTGTGCCACCACGCCTGGCTCATTTTGTTTTTAAAAACATGTTTAATGTGCTTAGAGATGGTGGAGGGCATGTGATGACCGAGGAATTGTTTGCCTTCACTCACTTGTCTCTAGTACAATGCGACGTTTGAAGCTGGCCGGAGCAAAAAAGCAAGAGAAAGAAAGGGACACACATAAGAAGAGAAAAAGCCAAATTGTTCCTATTTGGAGATGATATGATCCTATATATGAGACCTTAAATATTCCAAAGGTGGCTCAGTGCTTAAGTGCACTTGCTGCTCTTGCAGAAGACAAGGGTTCAGTTCCCAGAACCCACATGGCAGCTCACAACTCTCTAACTCTAGTTGCAGAGGCTTGCTTCTGCTTTCTGTGGGCCACACACATATGTGGTCCACATACATCATGCAAGCATAACACTCATACACATAAAATAAAAATAAATACACATTTAAAAATACATAATATTAACAGGCTTTTAAAGAAGTAAAAAATCTAAGTTTAGTTACATTTGACAAATTAATAAAGGAGTATTCCTCAAAAACGAGAGCTTCAGGAACTTAAAAATATATAAAATTTCTGTTTTCTTTCTTTATATGTTATTGTAACTTTCACTTAATCTGAATAACTCAACTGAATAACTTGGCATTTCACTAAATTAAAAGAATTAGATCAGAAATAGAATCCAAAGGAAAAAAGACAAAACTAACCTTGTTTTTGCAGTCTGGCATGGTCTCAATAGAATGCCAGAGATTCGAGGTAGGAACAACTAAGTTTTCTCTTGAAAAACTTCTTGAAATGAAAAATCTATCACTAAGGTCTCCAGGACAAATGGACTCTAAGGCAGGCCTTGTATTGAGAGTGCTATACAGTAAAGGTCTGTTCTGCCTTCTCTCCAAGAGAAGTTCAGTCTTTACCTCCGCTAGCCTCTCGTCTGTTCTGTGAAGAGTACAAAGGCAATTGATTCTTACCTCATTTTCCTGAGTGAATTTTAAATAACCAACATTTTTAAAAGAGTTTCATTAAAAGCAAATGAAATAGCCCATTAAGTAGCATCTTAGCACTCAAATTATGTCAGAGCATCCACTGTATCCAAATACAGGCTTAAAACTGTTCTCAAGAAGCACAGGTATTTCCAGTGGGACTTCTAACTAGCAAGTGATACAAACGAAGCAGGAGAGAAATGTCTTTCAATTTTGCCTCGCTCAACAAGTAAAAGTGCAGCGTAAGGGAAAGGCCCTAGCCATAAGATTCCTGATGTCATTAGAAAGACTTATATGAAGAGGGTAAGCATGCGAGATGATGGATATGTTAGTTTTCCTGACTCTAACGGTCACTTCACTATATATGAATGTTGAAAATATGACTGAAAAAGCTAAAAATATTTTACTTAGTAAATCAGTTTAAAGATTTCCAAAACTACCCTTGAAAGGCATTTTTGAGTATATTTTCTTTTACCATCTATACATTCTACCCACTTCCTGGGAAAAAACCCAAGCATTTGGCACAGAAGAAGGACTCAGAAGAGCAGCCAGGAGAGAAAGAGATGGCTGAGCTACTGATCAAGAATAGCCAAAGCACCTCTAAAGGCAATGAGATCATTCTATAGTTAACCAATGCATTAGAGATGGGACCTGTCCTTTCTGTCTTTCACACAGTCCTAACTGAACAAGGAGTTATATCTCACCACTTTGCAAGTTATACTTTCTTTAATGCTTATGCTGTGTCTTCCTATGTCATGTTTGTAGGCACAATAGAAAACTCTGAAGGACAGTTTTATCTAGGTACCCTCAAGTGGTAATGGCAAAGGTCACAATCAAGCAAAGTTAGTTCACCCAGGGCCAGAATGTGTCCAGTACAACAGCAGCAGTAGTACATGGCCTGTGGGCTTAAATTGTAACTTTCAAAAAACACTTTGTTAGTGTTTCTTTTTTTTAAAGAGAATGTTAACCAGAATTTTGATAACAATATGAATGTCTGAATTGCAAAACTTCAAAAATAATCAAAAAAGTAATATGCCAGGTTAATTATAGGACAGCATTCAGAAGGAAAAAAAAGCCATATAGAACCAAGAAAGGGAGATGCAAATTAATACAGATTCAGTTATTAAAGGTTAATTTTAAAAAATTATGTGTGTGTGTGTGTGTGTGTGTGTGTGTGTATGAGTGCAGGTGCTGGTGGAGGTCAGAGGCATTGGATCCCTCTAGAGCTGGAGCTATAGGCAATTGTGAACCAGCTGATGTGGGTGCTAGGACAGAACTTGGGTCCTCTGCAGAAGCAGTATGTCCTCTTAACCACCGAGCCATCTCTTCAGCCTCTTAAAGATGTTATTTGATGACATTATTTCTAAAATTGTATTCTTTTTCCTTTAAAAATTATTTTTTAGTGGTGCTGAGAGTTGATCCCTGGGCCATGTGCATGCTAGACCAGCACTCTACCACTAAGCACTGGCACCAGCCTCCAGATTTACATTCGTTACTTATTTCTCACATCCCACTAATCTCCACAACCTGTCTCACTAAAAACTGTGCTCTAGAGACAAATGAAAGAGCTCAACTTATCATCTATGATGTTTTGACTTACTTGCTTAGTTTATTCGACAATGATTTTCTAATTTTGACTTCTTCTAGATAGAGTTGCTTATAGTTTTCCATTTCTATTTTGTTACAATCTACTTGATTTTTCATTTTAGAGAATTCAGATTCTAGATCTCTTATTCTGAGATCCATCTGACTTCTTATTGAAGCATTCTGTTTATTTCTTAATTGCTGTAACTTTTCCTCATATGCTGCTTGTACCTAAGGCAAATAAATAGGAAATATTTTTTAAAAAATTATAGTTCAAATAATTATTGTGTATTTGTTTTCTTTTGTTTTTTTGAACACTATTTACATGTGACTCTTAAATATCTGAAAAAGATGCTAGAGTTCAAAATATTTTTTGTTAATATTAACTACATTAATCCTTAATTAAATGAAATGGAATCACCCTTATTACTATTATTTCTTTTGCAGTGCTGAGGGTCATAAACAGGATGTATGTATGCTAAATAGATGCTTTACCAGTAGACTATGGCCTTAGATAAAATTATTCTTATGTTAATAACATAATCTGACAATTGAGAAAATAATATCAATTCATAATTTTAAATTGAGCAAGTAACTTACATAAAATTCAAAAGTGTATTTTCTGCATGATCTATTTTCTTTTCTTCCTAAGTATTGTTTTATGCCAGTTAGTTTTAAATATCAATTGATTCTCTAATAAAAATAATTTTGAGTGATCAGTTTAATTATACTGATGAAAAATAAAAAAAAACACTTTTAACAATTTCTTGAGATTTTTATACAATGTATCTGACTGCCAACTCCTTTCTCTTAACTCCTCCCAGATCCAACTTCTTATCCTCTGTTATTTTTTCCCATGATCCACTGAGCACAACTGTGCTGCCCATGTGCTCATGGGTATGGTGTGATCCACTGGAGTGTGATCAAACCACCAGGTACTACACCCTAAAAGGAAACCAACTTTCCCTCCTCCAGAAGCCACCAACTTTCTCCTAAGTCAGGGGTGGGGGCTCATGAACCCCTCCCTACTCCATGCTAAAGTATTGCCTGGCTTGATCTTGTGCAGGCCTTGTGCAGGCAACCACAGCTGCTAGGAGTTCATGAATACAATGGTCCTGTCCTGTCCAGAAGACACTGTTTCAGTCCAGTCCTCCATGACCTCTGACTCCTACAGTCTTTCTGCCCTTTCCCCAAAATTTATAAAACAAGTATGGGAAGAGAAGTAGAGGAAACATATGCAGCATGTACATCCCAGATGTAATTTGCAGTGAAAGAATTAAAGCATGTTACATATAATTAACCTGTAAGAATAGATTGACTTGTTTCAATTTTTCCACTAGATCTTGTTTTGTTTTCTCTTCAATTTCCCATTTATATTGTTCTACTTGACCACATTCTATCATATTCTTTTCCATGTGACTTTTGAGGTTAACTATTTCTTGTTCCAACTTCTTTTTATGCTCCCTTAGTTGTTCACATTTCCTTTTTGTGGATTTCATAGACAATAACTCCTGCTGGAGAAGCTGATTTTCTTTATGTAGATGTAGATATTTTGAAGATGCAGTTTCCAGTTTTGCAGTAAGATCATCATTCTGTACAGAAGAAATAATAAACTTTGGTAATGAAGGAATGAGGCTGAGAATAGTCTAACAGAAAACAATGAAACTGATATAATTTTAGTTGTAATAAAGTACAGTGTGGTACAGTGAATTATTCATAAAATTAAAAAAAATCACCCAAATCACCAAAAGTCACAGAAACATAATGTTTATGGTCATCTATGCAACAAACACTTGATTTTATACTTTATTTTTCTATGATTTGTGTCTTTTTGTGATAAGATCTCACTGTGTAGCCCTGGCTGACCTGGAACTCACTATGTTGACCAGGTTGGTTTGGGATTAAGGCATGTGGCTGGTTTATTAGTTACTTTTCTGTTGCTGTGATAAGATATGACCAAAGCTTATATGAGGCAGAGTTTATTTAGGTTTGTGTTCCAGAGGGATAAGAGTCCATTGTGGTGAGGAGGCAGCAAGCAGCAGGACCGGCAGTGGGGAAAGCTCAGAGCTCGCATCCTCAATAGCCAATACAAGCAGAGAGGGCAAACTGGAATTAGGGCTATAAAACTCAAAGCCTACTCTGAATGACACACTTCTTCCAGCAAGGTTGCACCTTCCAAAACAATGCCCCCAACTGTGGACAAAGTGTTTAAATATTTAAGCCTATGGGAGACATTTCTCATCCAAACCACCACAATGTACTCCTTGGCTCCCATAGGCTTATGGCTGATAATTCAAAATGCACTTAGTCCAGCTTTTAAAAAGCCCTCATAATCTTTCATTTCATCACTGTTAAAAGTTTACAGCCTAATGTCTCTTTTGAGACTTAACTGTGAAATAAAATACAAAGTACATACTTTCAACATACAGTGGCACAAAATATACATTCCCATTCCAAAAAGAAAGAAATGTATGAATACCAGGGAAATACTGGACCAAAGCAAGATAAAAAGCCGGAAGGGCCAACACTAAATCCTGTTGCTCCATGTCTGAGACTTTAGTTCCAAAAGGCTTAGAATCCTCTGCCCCTCCAGTTTTGCTGCCTGAAATATATGTCACTTTCTTGGTGTGTTACAATTCTCTGTTGCTATCCTTAGCATGTATTTCTTGGCTCAGGCATTTCCACTATCTTGACATCTCCACTAAGCCAACCTTAACTTTCATAGCTTCATGCAATGGCCCCTTATGGTCTCCTTGCCCCTCAGGGCGTTTTTGTAGCAACTCCAGCAATGAAACACAATGCCTGGCTTCAGCAGCTTTCTAAAACCATGGAGGAAGACTCCAGGACCCCCTCACTCTTGTATCTTTCATGCCTGTAGAGCTAGTACCATGTGAATGACACTACCAAGTTTGGCTTCCAGCTTGGCATGGACACTTGCCCCCTCAAATCACATTTATGGTAAGTAGTTTTGGTATGCGGTTGTTTTCTAGGAGGAGAAAATGCCTTAGGATTTTTCCTTGTACAAATTGGAAGCTTAGCTGGGTAGGGTCTTCCCCTGAGGGTACCTTTCTCATTGTTTTAGTGCAGAGCAGGAAGCCGCTCCTTAATGGTGCTAATCTTAACAATCACAGCCTCTCTTCTAGCATATGTCTTGCATTAAGCTTCTAGTGCTTTCTCTCCACACTGTATTTTATATTTCTTTCTTCTCTACTTTTTTTGTTGTAGACCTGCATAAGCATCACCATTAATAACCATGTCACATACTCAATGCTATGCTATCTTGAAATTTCCTCTACCAAATAAATTAGTTCATTACTATTTAATGTATCCTTAAACAGGTTCTTAGGACACAGGCACAAGGCAGTGAGATTCTTTGCCAAAATGTCATAGAAATGACCTCTAGCCCAGTTTCTGTTCAAGTCTTTGCTTCCCTCTCCCTCTGAAACCCTTTGAGTTTGACCTCTACTAGAATGGACCATTAAACTCTGCGTACAGCATTCAATCACTTTTCTAGTTCAAAGTTCCAAAGTATTCCACATTTCTCCAAAAAACATGGTCAGGGCCTTCATGGCAACACCCCAATTCTGGTACCAACTTCTGTATTAGTTGTTTTTCTGTTGCTGTGATAAAATACCATGACTGAGGCAACTTACAGAAAGAAGACTTTATTTAGGCTTATGGTTCCTGGGAGATAAGAACTCTTCATGTCCCTGTCCCAGCTCCCAGGCCCAACTCTGGTCATGCCCCCTTTGCTTAAGAGCATTGTAGAATTGGACTTAAAAATTACAAGTTAAAAGTTACAGTAACAAAGCAAGCAGAGAAAATCGAACAGCTGAAGGAAAACCTAGCAAGTGAAAATTTGGTAAGAGCAGCATTATTCACAATAACCAAAACATGTAAAACACCCATGTTTTAATGGATGAGTGACTTTAGACTACTGCGTTTTAATTGAAGCTTTACTACCAAAATTATTAATTTTATAAACTCAGAAAATATCTATAAAGAGTACTACTTACACTACTAAAAGCAGTTATGAGTATTGGTATGACTATATCAATGAAAGTTTTCTACTACTTAAAGTATTTTTAAGACTAGAGAAAACTTCCTTTTTATTATTATTATAAATAAGAGAATAACTTACCAAATTTTCGTTTACTAGGTTTTCCTTCAGCTGTTCAATTCTCTCTGCTTGCTTTGTTACTGTAACTTTTAACTTGTAATTTTCAAGTCCAAGTCTACAGTGCATATTTAAAAAGTTATTCTCATACTAGCTTAAAAAAATCACATAATTTCTGAAAAAACACCTGGAAGAGTAGTATTTAAGTTCTTAAAAAAGTAAATTTTATAAATACATCCTTTTTTGAAGCTGTATTTTGTGGGTAATGTGTGAATTTTAGGTACAATGTGTACAATTTACGCATTTCTTTTATTATTGCTGCTATTATTACTGTTACTATTATTAATTTTTTGGAGTGCTTGGATTGAACCTGGGGCCTTACAGATGCAAAATATGTATTATATTGTTGATCTATACCCCAAGCCTAAATTGTATATTTCAAGTAACTTTAAAATGAAAATTTGCTCTGGAGTCACACAAATTTTAATAACAGGCATATTCTCACACTACACTGTTTGTTTTCTTTGTAAATGCTCCTTATTTTGTATGTGCTTTATACTTTTGTATGCAGTCTTGCATTTTCTTAGCACATTGTTCGGACTTTGTGCTTTGATCCAGTGCTTCTTGTAACTAAAACAAAGGAAATAAAAAACTTATTAATAATCTAGCGCAAATATGCCCATCTTGGGTTTTTGTGCTAAAATTTCAATAGACACAGTGATGCCCCTTCACTTGAAGACCGTGTGTGTGTGTGTGTGTGTGTGTGTGTGTGTGTTGCTGTAACTGCAAAATTAAAGTATTACAACA